ACCAGTGCGCACGGAACGCTGTTACCTTCCCACTTAAGTGGTACCTATTTATCTACTTGCAATTTCTTGCTTTTGAACTGCTAGGTTGGCAGGAGCTGGAACTAGAGACGGGAGCTGACTCGGTTTTGCGGCACCCGGGTCTCGAACTACTGACCTTCCACAGCCTGCAGTTCAGCGTCTTAACCACTTGAGCCAGCGCTCAACAGATACAGAAACATTAAAAGCCAGAATCACCTTATGCCACCCATCCATGTGTGTTCCTCCACTGCCCAAGCTTAGATGGCCCCAAAAGCTCTCTGGCACACATTATAGTAGGATAAATGTCCAGTGAGCATTAGTAGAAACTTCCCAATAGTCAAAGCAGTTTGGCGATGCACCCAGTTACCTAGAGGGCTCTGCTCACATTCACTGGAGGTCTTCAGACAGCGGTTGGACAAGTCATCTGCCGAGGATGCTCCAGCTTTGGAGTTTCTGCACTGAGCCATGGGTTAGACTAGATGGCCTCTGACAGGGGGTAGGCAGAAGGTCACGCGGGAGAAACCAGTCAAGCAATTAATTTTATCTCCCCTCCTCAAGTGCTGCTTATGCTTCTTTTTCAAGCTGCCGTGGCAGCTTGTCTTGCTATTTGTGCAGAGGAGGAGGAACACGTATGCACATACTTTTGCTCTAGAAAAACAGCAGCCTTTCCCATCTGCCTCTCCTCCTCCTCCTCCTACACGCACCCGTCTTCTGGGCAGGAAAGGAGTATGTTGTTGATTCTTTCCCCCCTCCATCAAAGCTGCTATTTGCTTTTTCCAAGGGAAGCACACAGGTAACGGTATAATTTGTTATAATAAGAAGTTATAATTGCGGGGGATGCTTTGTTTTGGGCAAACAGCAGAGAAGAGGTTTCCTCTGGAGACCTGCTCTAAAACACTAGTATTTTTGTATAAGCTGCTGTTTTGTGACTAGCTCTGCCTGTTGAACCACCATTTTGTGACTGGTAGCTCCCAAGACTCCAAGAAAAAAAAAATTAACTAGATCCTAGAAGCATAAAGTCTGATTATACTGTGCAAAGACAGGGAAAACTATAATGGGAAAAATCAGTATCATTAACTCACAACAGGGTCCTCTGATGTCTAGCCTTGTCATTTCCCTATGTCTAGCAAAGCCAGGAAATGAGGCAGCCCATCATATTCTGTTGGGGTGCAAACCTCTGAAGGTTTCCCTTGCTCAAAAGCTAGTCGGATCCGACTCTAGGGGGCAGTGCTCATCTCTGTTTCCAAGCCGAAGAGCCAGCACTGTCCGAAGACATTTCCATGGTCATGTGGCCGGCAAGACTAAACGGCAAGGCGCACGGAATGCTGTTACCTTCCCACCGAAGCAGTACCTATTTATCTACTTGCGATTTCTTGCTTTCGATCTGCTAGGTTGGCAGGAGCTGGGGCCAGAGATGGGAGCTCACTCCGTCACGAGGCACTTGGGTCTTGAACTGCTGAACTACTGACCTTCCGGTCTGCAGTTCAGCATCTTAACTCAGCATTATATTAACCTCTACCTGGCATTATATTAAATACCCTGAAATATCGCTGGCTTACTTTTTCTACCACTTAGTAAGCAGCAGCGATATATCTACTTTCTCCCCCACAGTTTCCCCCAAAAGAACAATCAGAGGGTAAATTCAGGCCTAATGCAAAACCATTGTTTCATTAAACTGTTCTTAGTTAATTGTTTTGGAGGGAAAGCAGCATGGTATAGCCATTCTCATCAGATCATGGAAGCTAATCAGGGTTGGTACTTGGATGGGAGCCCACCAAGGAAGACTCTGCAGAGGAAGGCAATGGCCAACCACCTTTGCTTCTTACTTGCCTTGAGAGCCATAAGTCAGCTGTGACTTAGGGGCACTTTACACACACGATCGATTGCTGGAACACAGGCTGCTGCACCTGCTATGGTTAGTTAGAGGCCGTCAAACCGAGGTTAGTTAGAGGCCATCAAACTGAGCTCTCTGAAGCCAGGCTCTCTAGCTGGTTATTGAGAATGGCTACATTTGCCACAAAGTACAGTAGTTTCCCATCTCTTCCCTGTAACACAGAGTGCATCATGAGAAGGCAACTGGGAATGGTCCACACTGGCAAACGACCAGAATATTGCCAATAACATAACTTCTGAACTGGTAGCCCATATAGGTGGGTAACATGATTGGATTGCCCTTTCCCCTCTCTTACTCTGATGGCATAGGGTTGCCAACCTCCAGATGGGTGCTGGAGATCTCCCGGAAGTACAGCTGATCTCCAGACCACATAAAGCACTTGTTTATTTATTTATTTAAAACATTTATTCCACCTCTCCTGGAAGAAAATGGCTGCTTTGGAAGGTGGGCTGCGTGGCCTTATACCCTACCGAGGCGCCTCCCTTCCCAAAACCCGGCTCTCTCAGGCTCCAGCCTGAAATCTCCAGGTGTTTCTAAACTCCACCAAACACACTGGCGACAGGAATGCTTCTGAGCCGTGTTAACAAATTTACCCAGTGCCCATAAAAAGCAGCCTGCAGGACCCATAAAAATGAATGCCTGTATAAAAGAGGGCCCAGATATTCTGAAGAAAAATATGGTTTTCCTTATTCAGGCATCATTCCCTCAGAGTTTTTAGAAGTAACTGCAATCAAAAGATGGATGCACGCCGTCACCCCAGTGGAATGGGTTAGGAGGAGAAATGAGGTTAGCAATAGGAAGGCTCTTTAATGTTGAAACGGACTGGGTGAACGAGGCTGTAAATAATGCATGCCCAGATCTGAGAAGCAAAATCTTGCCAGTTATGAGCAGTTGAAGCTGAACTTTGGAGGTCTGGGATGACGGTCAGTGAGCTGAACACTGCATTTGGACGTGGAAGCCTGAACTCAAGACTAGAGTTGAAACAAAAATTGCCAGATTAAATGAGCAACCACGAACCTTATGATTCATACAGGCACTTTAAAGTCCTAAGTTAAAGATTTTGCATCCAAGAAATGATAATTTGGTCACAAAATATCAATGCCTCTCACAAGGTCAGATTTCTTTTCCAGGCTTTTTGGTCTTTAAAATTATTTACCACTCAAACCTGAATGTAAAAAATGTCATGATAACTTGTAATAGTCTATAGTCAAATGTTAAAAACACACACACACAACTGCAGGCAGGTCCTGCGCTTGTGGAACTGAAATTTTGCAACTTCCCCTTCCTATTGTATTCTGCTAGGGGGGGTCACAATGTGGGAGGGGGCTGCTGGGAAGAGAGAGAATCAGGAGAAGTCTGACGCAAGTAGACGTCTCTAGGACCCAACTCACTATCTGCTGTTTCTAGCTCAGGTGCCAGTTTCCTCAGCACTAAAATCCATACACAGCTGTGGATTCCTTGGGTGGCTTGGAGCATGGCACTCCCTCTTGGCCCTCGTTCACTGTCTGTAAAATGGAAACAACAGTCACCTTCATAGGTAATAAGGCAGAGGAATAAAATATACACAGAGCACTCAAAGTGTTAAGCAAACGATGATACAGTTCCATTTCTGAATCTCTATTCTTGAGTGGCTGACTCAAGTCAAAAACATATCAAACCCTACAAATGTGAAAACTCGCATCGCGTGCCACCCTATCCCTGGCCATCAAATGCCAACTGAAACACATGAGGTTGCACCTAGCGAGGCATGAGTGGAAAGCCCGTTGGGGAGGGCGGGATATAAATTTGAATAATAAATAAATAAAGGAAAATGTACTTAGCACCGTTAAGTTTGCGCAAGCAATAGTATAAGGGCATCTCAATATTTTAAGGCGATAACAGTGTGCATACGGAGCAATGGAATGTACAACAGATGGCTGGCATGATTTTATTTCATTTGTTTTTGAAGATGTGTCAGAAGAAATACCTTGAGTAGGGGGATGCCGTTTGTCATGGATTTACAACTGTTCTCCAGACTACAGATATCAGTTTCCATGGAAAGGGCAGCTTTGGAGGGCTGACTCTGTGGCATCACATCCCTCCCGAGCGCCTTCCCCTCCCCGGACTTTGTCCTCTCCAGGCACTAGGGTGGCCAGCTCAGTCCGGGTTAGGAAGTTCCTGAAGGTTTGGGGAGTGGAGCCTGGGGTGGCCAGGTTTGGGGAGAGGAGGGAGCTTGGTAGGGTGTAATGCCATAGATCCGACCCTCCAAAGCAGCAGTTTTCTCCGGGGAAACTGATCTCTGCAGGCTGGAAATTAGTTGTCGTTCTGGGGGTGGTCTCCAGGCCCCACCGGGAGGTTGCCCCAGGACTGCTCCCAACTCTCCAGGGATTTCCCAAGCCTAACCTTGCCAATGCAGAAAAGAAAGTGGGGATTCGATCACTTTCACATAGCACAAGCAGACAGGGAGGGGCCATTTCAGCCCTTCCGTTTGCAGAAGGACTGCAGCACATGCAGAAGTCTTCTGTGGCATCCAGTCTGAAGTCTTGACCCCTCTAAATTTGGTTTAGAGCACCGCAAACACAAAGAACAGTATCAGGAATGGGGTAACACAACTATTACATGTTATAAACATGCAGGCAGAAGTTGCAGAACCGTTGGCAGCTTGCGATCATCCATCCTTATTGTCCCTGATGCCTGGCTCTTTGAAAAACCCAAATCTTGAATGCAAAATAATCCATCAACACTAAGTGAATGCAGTTAGTGGCTCAGATCCCAGGAAGCATTTCTGCAGGCAGAAGGGTTTTCTGTCCTCAGAGCATGGCTTTCTTCCCTCCCCCTGGAGCCTTAAATGCCCCCTAAAATGCTGCCCCTGGAGGATCCGGGACCTCCAGGATAAGCAAGAAGGTAGAGCTGGAGGTCCACGGTGGGAAGGAAGAATCAGGCAGAAATCCCCCTTCCTGTTCTTGGATAATCGCCTCTGGATCCAATCCACCGTTTATAATTTATTTAGAATGCAGAATTTGTATTACTAAAAAGAACCCATAAAACACTTTCTCATAATTAAAGGCAGCTTTTATTTTAGTTTTTTCCTCTTCTTGTTGCATTTCAGAAAATGTTGCCCAGCTAATTCCAGAAGCGGGAAGCCTCCTTCATTCCAGAGTGATGCAGTACAGAGAGCTCCTGGATTCCTTGCCCATGGATGCTTATACGCACGGATGCATCCTTCACCCAGAGCTCACCACAGACTCCATGATTCCAAAGTATGCTACAGCCGAGATCCGCAGTAAGTGGCCCACTAGAGCCGGGTTGCCTAGGACTAGGCGGTTGTGTGGTCATGTCACGGTCACGGAGGGATCTGAATCTTGCAAGTTCCCCTTCTCCCAAAACAAACGGCACAGGGTATTTAGTGTGTGAGCAACATGGGAGAGATGATGCTGATAGATGGGAAGAAGAAAAAAATGGCTGACAACAGTAGATGCCTAAGAGGTGGCCAGTTCTCTATACCTGGTGTTATATATCTTGCGGGGGGGGGAGTGATCCTTTGCCTGATACTGAATCAGAGCAAGGTCAGTATGGGCTACTCTGAATGACAGCAGCTCTCCAAGGTCTCAGACTAAAGTCTTTCACATTACTGTGAAATCGACTGGATATGCCTGGGGTTTTTTTGTATGCAAACCTACTGCTGCTATGCTGTGGGGTGCTGGATGATGTGGGGAGAAGTACTGGCTCTGGGAACAAGACTCTAATCTAACTCATTTGTCCTAATTGCTAATATTGTAAGCCATTTTAGACATCTCAAAACAGAAAAGTAGAATACAAATGTTTTTATATACAATATCTATACAATATCTTGTCTTCTGCCTATACAATATCTTGTCTTCTGCCTAATCAGGGCCACCAGAATGGCTATTTTAAATAAATAAGAGCGCTGGAAGTCCTGATGCTGGGTACTTATAGCATCTCTGTCTATTGTTCCTATCATAGCTTCATGGGACAGTACGTGCAGAAGGTGCCATGTTCAGCCCATGAAATCTCAAATTAAAAGGCTCTCAGATAAAAGGGTGGTTTAAAAAACAACAACACAACGGCCCTTGCCTGAGATGTTGGCGAGGACAGGCCACTCAGAGTAGATAACAGATGGACCCGTGGTATGATTCAGCATAAGAAAGCATCATATGGATTTTCATTCTAGGGTAGATATGGTTTACATTTCTACAGCAGTTCAGCTTTTACGGATCCAGTTTCAGTGCTTCCAATCCTCACTGTCCAGACTCATCTGGGTTCCTTTGGAATGACCTAGTATTTCCATGTGATTAACAGGGACCGTGGTGTTGTTCTTAATGTATGTCTCAGCCATTTTCCAAGACACTTTCTATGGCAGCAGGGGTGGTGCAGTTGCAGAACTGCAGTATGCAGGGAGAAGCTATGGCTCAGTGGTAAAGCGTTTGCTTAGCATGCAGAAAGTCACAGGTTCCATCCCTGGCATCTTCAGTTAAAAGGATCGGGTAGGAGGTGATGTGAAAGACCTCTGACTGAGTCCCTGGACAGCTGCTGTCAGACTGAGTAGACAATGCTGACTTTGATGGACCAGTATAAGGCAGCTTCATGTGTTCGTGCATTCACTATCTGGAGACGTAACCCTTACCTCTGCTGCCTGTCTCAAGACACGTACACACAAGGTATCACAGTGGCCACTTTCAGTGCAACCACATCAAGGCTGCGGCTTTTGTGTCCAGCCGCTCACCAGCTGGGTCAGATGATGTTCACCGTCCCATTGTATGTGTGGTTTGTGGTGGCAGAATAATAACTGTCATGTTTGCCTGAGGAACAGAGACATTTGAGTGGCCTGCTTCAAAAGAAGAATTTTCTTGGTTTTCAAAGTGACCGTGCTCTTATGTGTGTGAATCAAACTAAACTTTACAAAGCGAAAGTTTTACCTACACAGATGGGGGGAAACAGCTCAAGGGAGGGGATGGAGTGGGGGTTGTAGGTGAGGAAAGGACTAAGCATCTCTCCCCTCTGCCACTTTTTCATTGTCACATGTCCCTCAGCTTTGCCTTTAATAATAAAAAAGGTATCATGTTCAAAGCATATTAAGTTATCCCGAAAATGCAGCAGTAGTAATGTGAAGTAATACCTAGGCATGCAAGCTGTAAAAACAGATGCAAGTGCATTCATTATTAGTTAATCAACATTCCTCTAAAGGTCCTTTCGTGTGAATTTTAAAATGAATATTCTACTAAGAAACTTAGTTGCATCTAAAGGTGTTCTTTTGTTCTGTCAGTGGAATGTTTGTTGATTCTAGGGATGCCAGCCTCCAGGTGGGACCTGGAGATCCCCTGGAATTACAGCTGATCTCCAGACTACAGAGATCAATTCCCCTGGAGAAAATAGATGCTTTGGAGGGTGGAGTCTATGGCCTTGTGCTCCATTGAGGTCCCCGTCTTCCCCAGGCTCCATCCCAAACACTCCAAGTTGACAAAGAGAGATTTTTCTCTCTCTTCAAAATACTAGAACTCGAGGACATCCAGTTAAGCTGATGGGCAGCAGGTTCAGGAAGGACAAAAGGAAATACTACTTTATACAGAGAGTGATTAAGAACATAAGAGACGCCAATGTTGGATCAGGCCAAAGGCCCATCCAGTCCAACACTCTGTGTCACACAGTGGCCAGAAATACCAGTGCCATCAGGAGGTCCAGCAGTGGGGCCAGGACATTAGAAGCCCTCCCACTGTTGACCCCCCCCCAAGCACCAAGAAGACAGAGCATCACTTGCCCCAGAGCCCCTAGCTATACCTTGTGGCTAATAGCCACTGATGGACCTCTGCTCCATATGCTTATCTAAAATGTGGAATGCGCTGTCAGAGGATGTAGTGATGGCCACAGGAATAAACTTTAAAAGGGGATTAGATAGATTCATGGAGGGTAAGTCTATCAATGGCTACTAGCCGTGGTGACTGAGGGGAACCTCCACATTCAGAGGCACTAAGCCTCTGAGCCCCCCAAGAATAAATAAATAAATAAATAAATAAATAAATAAATAAATAAATAAAGAAGCAACATCAGGGGAAGGCCTCGGCATCTATGCTGTGTTGTTGGCCATCCAGAGGAACTGGTTGGACACTGTATGAGACAGGATGCTGCACTAGATGGACCACTGGTCTGATCTAGCAGGGCTCTTCTTATGAGAAGGACATAAGCCACTTTGGATCCATACTGGGGTATAAACGAAGTCAATAAATAAATATGAACATGTTGCAGGAAGCACCAGTTGGCTGCTTTCTGCAGCATGTACATGGAGCTCTGCACTTTTCATGACAACTGCATTTGTCATATGGGTGCCAGTGGTACAATTTGCCACGATGTGCATGTAAAGTCAGGGTGCTCTGGTACATCTCCACGTGTGTTTAAAAGCATCAGTCTGCAATTTGTAGTTTGCATATTTAATCTAGAAACACTACTGTAACATCAGAGTGTTTTTAGCAAACACGAGCTGCTCCTAAGTGTCGTATGCACATTGGTGTGCCCATGAAGCAAAGATGCCCAGTGTGGAAATTAGCCTTGTGGGATGTAGCTCTAAGCTTTGCCCACTTAGTAGTACTCCATTTACCCACCATCACAGACATCCAGCCATTTAAGATGCATGTTTATGAGTGCCTGTAGTTCTTGGAATTAATTGGAGACAATTACAGCTTGAGGCGTCCGGATTCAAAGTGATCAAAGCGGTAAAAAAAAATTGGCAGGAGGACAAAGAATGGAACCACAGGCCTGGAAGGAGAGCTCAAGAATAATAGCTTGTCTCACTATGATAGAGTAAAACAAAAGAATGCTTATTCTCAAGACCAGCACACTTTGGGCATAACTAAAGAGTTACAGCACACATGAGGCTGCCTTCGACTGAGCCCAGAGTGGTGGTGCCCTAACCTGGATGGCCTCGTCAGATCTTGGAAGCTCAGTAGGGTCGGCCTCAGCTAGGACTTGGAAGGGCGACCTCCAAGGAATACCAGGGGCATGATGCAGAGGCAGGCAATAGCAAACCACCACTGAAACATCTCTTGCCCAGGCCCATAGCCAGGATATTTTAGTCGGGGGCATTTTGGTGTAGTGGTTAAGTGTGCGGACTCTAATCTGGGAGAACCGGGTTTGATTCCCCACTCCACTTGCACCTGCTGATGTGACCTTGGGTCAGTCACAAGCTCTGGCACAGCTGTCCTTGAAAAAGGGCAGTTTGTGTCAGAGTTCTCTCAGCCCCACCCACCTCACGGGGTGTCTGTTGTGGGGAGGGGAAGGGAAAGGAGTTTGTAAGCCGCTCTGAGACTACAAGTGAAGGGCGGGGTATAAATCCAATCTCTTCTTCTTCTAACAGGGGTCGGCCCAAGCCAGCATTTGGATGGCCAAAAATACCAGGTGCCATCAGGAGGTCCAGCAGTGAAGCCAGGACACTAGAAGCCCTCCCACTGCCCCCCCCCCAAAGCACCAAGAATACAGAGCATCCTATTATGTACGCGGACCACCACCAGGGGTCCGCGACACAGCAGGAGCTTGGCTCCCTTGGACAGTAGGAACATAGGATCCTAGTTCCCCCCAGTCCCAACCAATAGCCACTTTGGCGGGAAATTCAAACCCTCTGAATTCTCTGGTGGCTATATCACAAAGGTTACAGGAAAACCCTGCACGTCTGACACGAACAAAAAAGGAAGGGAAGGGGAAAAGAAAAGGGGGAAAAAAGAAGGGAAAAACCCAAAAAAGCTGCTATGGATCCACAAGGGTTAAGCTGACACTAAATATGATACAAGTACAAAATTTATTCAGGTGTACACACTTTTTAAAAACTTAGACCCATTAAAAATATTCACATTCAGACATAAAAAAACTTCTCAACACTCATACATAGATGGGTTAGTGCTGTGCAACTGAGCCAAACGCATTTCGGCCCCTAGGGGACTTCCTCAGTGGTCACAATCCAAAATACAAACTTGACATACATTCAAAAAAAACCTTTTACATAAGATGTTAAATACATATGCAATATAAGGCCAGATATTGTATCCTTATATATTTATATGTTTACTGTTGTTTATAAGATAGGCCTCAGGTAAAGCCAATTATAGTCCACCAATAATTCTGGTAGCATAAACTTGCGTGAGTTGAATGTATGTCACTCCATCCTGTACAAATTCTGGTCAGGGAAATTCAAACCCTCCAATGGACTAGGGGTGTGCTGGGTGGGTGTGTATATAGTTGGCCTTACAGGGCTGTTTTAGTTAGTCTGATGTTAGGTAC